TGGGTTTCTTCTGATGCATGACAATGTTAGGCATCATGTGGCTGAAGTGTGTCAGCAGTTCCTGCTTGATGAAGGCATTGATGCTATGGCCTGCCCGTTCCCCAGACCTGAATCCAACTGAGCACATCTGGGACATTGTATCTCGTTGCACCACAGACTGTCCAGGAGTTGACTGATGCTTTAATCCAGGTGTGGGAGGAGATCCCTCAGGAGAACATTCTGCCTCATCAGGAGCATGCCCGGGCATTTTAGGGAGGTCATACAGGCATGTGGAGGCCACACACACTACTGAGCCTCACTATGACTTGTTTGGAGGAATTTCCACTGAAGCTGGATCAGCCGGTAATGTGATTGTCCACTTTTATTTTGAGTATGATTCCAAATCTAGACCTCCATGGGATAATAATTTTGATTTACATTGATCATTTTTATGTTATTTTGTTCTCAACACATTCCACTATGTAATGAATAAAGATTTTCAACTGGAATATTTAATTCATTAAGATCTAGGATGTGTTATTTTAGTGTTCGCTTTAATTTTTTTGAGCAGTGTATAAGTATGTGAAATAAAAGCAACTGTGAATGTAAATGTAAAAGTGAGTGTGGCCTTTTTCAACAATGGAATGTTTGTGGTGAAATATAAATGCTAGCAATCAACTCAGAATCATGAAAAAACCCTAATTTGACCCCTCATAATTTACTTAAGGCCCGACTTTTTAAAAAAAATGATTTTTCATCAATCATTTATTGGTACTCCAACTTGAGCAGGTTTTTTTCAGGGTTTCCCACTAGAGTTGAACTTCAACATTTTAAGACATGTTATTACACACCTTTACAAACATATTGGTGAAGAAATTGTTTGGTAATGATTTAGTTGGCAGATTTTGATATTTTTCAATTACAATTTTGTCAGGGTCCCCTCCCCAGTCCCTGCATCTGCCCCACCTGACCTCTCTGCTTCTCCCTCTCTCTTTCTCTCTTTCTCCCCCCTCTGCTCTCACTCACTCTCCTGTGCCGCTCCCTGCAGCGGCTGATACTAATTATTTTCTTAATCAGCAGTAACTCTGGTCATCTGCGGTGCAACACTCTAGCCACTTCCTCTCGAGCCATAAAAGCCAATTCCACACTCCACTCCCTGCCAGATCGTGGCATCAGCTTCAGCTACTCCAGTAGTTGCGTGATCAGGCCTCAGCACATTACTGATCTCTTGTTTTAACCTGCAATCCTCCTGTTCCTGCAGTCCTACTTGCCGCACTGCCCTGGTGTGGCTTCGGTCCTGCAATCCCTTGCCCCGATTCGGTTTCGGTCCTGCTATCCCTTACCCCAGTTCTGCTTCAGTCCTGCTGTTCCTTACCCCAGTTCTGCTTCGGTCCTGTTATTCTTAGCTCCGGTTCTGCTCCGTCCTGCTATCCCGTGGCCAGGGTTTGCTTTGGTCCTGCTGTCCGTTGGCCCAGTTCTGCTTTGGTCCTGTTATTCCCTGCATTGGCTCGGCTTCAGTCCTGCCCGCTGTGGTTCTGCCTCCTGCCCAGCCTCGGATTTCCTAAACCCCCGACTTAAAGGGCATTGGCTCCCCCCTGGTCCACACTCCAGACCGCCTCTGCTGCTCTGCACCACTCACCCTCTCCATCTGTGTGCGCCCCTTGTTCCTGAGCCTGTTTGTGGTCTTCATGGACAGGTTCTCAAGGCGTAGCCAGGGTGAGGAGGGTGTCTTTTGGTTCGGGACCTCAGGATTGCGTCTCTGCTTTTTGAGGACGACATGGTACTGATGGCTTCATCAGACTGTGACCTTCAACACGCACTGGAGCGGTTTGCAGCCAAGTGTGAAGTGGCAGGGATGCAGATCAGTACCTCCAAGTCCAAGGCCATGGTCCTCTGCCGGAAACTGGTGGATTGCCTCCTTCGGGTGGGGGGGAGTTGCTTCCCCAAGCAAGAGAGTTTAAGTATCTCAGGATCTTGTTCACAAGTGATGGGAAAATGGAGCACAAGGTGGACAGGCAACTCGGTGCGGCTTCAGCAATAATGCAGGCACTGTACGAGACCGTTGTGGTGAAGAGAGGGTTGAGCCGCAAGACGAAGATCTTGATTTACCAGTCCATCTACATCCCAACCCTCACCTATGGTCACGAGCTTTGGGTCATGACTGAAAGAACAACAGGGTGGCTGGGCTCAGCCTTAGAGGTATGGTGAGGAGCTCGGACATCCGGAGGGAGCTTGGCGTAGAGCCACTGCTCCTTCGCGTCAAAAGGAGCCAGTTGAGGTGGTTTGGACATCTGATTTGGATTCCTCTGGAGGTTTTCTGAACACATCCACCTGGGAGGAGACCCGGGGGCAGACCCAGAACCCGCTGGAGGAATTGTATCTCTCGGCTGGCCTGGGAATGCCTCGGGATCCCCCAGGATGAGCTGGAAAGCGTCGCTGGGGGAGGGAAGTCTGAAATGACCTGCTCCACCTGCTGCCTCCACAACCCTACCCCGGATAAGTGGAAGAAAATAGATGGATGGATGGATGGATGGATGGATGGACGGACGGATGGATGGATGGATGGATGGACGGATGGATGGATGGATGGATGGATGGATGGATGGATGGATGGATTGGATTTAAATATGGGCTTTGACAAAACCATTCTTTATCTCTTCATTTTTCACTTTGAGCAATACCTTGTTGGTAATTTTAACGTTATCAATGAGTACTGTTTCAAAGACAATCAAGTGGTTCCTTGTTCAAATGATAAAATTTATAACTTCAATGGGATGTACTTGTTTTTTCACAACAGTAGAAATGTCATCTTCATCATTGTTCTGTTTGTATTGTTTGTCTGTTCTTCTTCTGCTATCCTCCTATCCCGAGGCAGATGGCCCTGAGCTTGGTTCTGTCTGAGGGTTAAAGTTTTTTATTTTTTTGGTTCCTTCCCACTATCACTGACTGCTTGCTCATAGGGAATCCAAAGGCAGCTTTGGATTGTTGGTTTTTCTGTTCTCTGTTTAAAATTCGTAAGGTCTTCATCTTACTATGTGAAGTGCTATGAAATGACAAATGCTGTGAACTGAAGCTATGTAAATAAAACTGAATTGAATCTTGTCACATGGATAAAATAAGTGTAATTATAGTGAGTCCAAAAAGTATATTAATATTTGTATTTATTTCTTTCATTTTATAATAACTTTAAAAAAATCAAATTATGAAAATCCCATTCTAACCACAGTTCTCACACTATTGACTATTGAAAGTTTTGATTGATGTGATTTTCTATGTTTGGTTGTGTCCGAGCTGATCAAGTGTCTTCCACAACTTATGTTGTATTTCTGCTTAAAGGTATTCCATGGCAGAGACTGGGCATCCTGTGGCGAAGTTGTATCCACTGGAGGGAAATGTTCCCTTGGATTCTACCCTCTCTGGTCAGTCCCTGTTTGACAGCTCCGAGAGCTCTAAACAGGCAATAAGCACCTCTACACTGGCAGGTTACAAGTGCCAAGAGGAGGCTAAAAGTCAGATCTGTAAAGGACATTCTTCTACTCTTCCAACTGAAGAAACTTACAGCAGCAGGCTGAGGGTCAGCACACAGCCTGCTGAACTGCAGCAAAGCGCATCTGAACACTGCGCGCTCCCCAGGGCTTCAAGCCACCCACCTACTCTAGCTGAGACACACACACCCTCACACCACCACAGGGCAGTTGTGAATGAAAACAAAGACAACCCTGAGTCTGCCAGGACATTGCAGAGTACAGGGTCAACATCTCTGCCTGTTCACAGGAGTCACTCCGACACTTTACGTCAGGTTAAACAGGGAGTGCCTCCCCAGGCTCCAGACAGTGAGACTTATGGACTTAGTTGTCATGGAGGAGATAAAAACATGCAAGAGGCTGAGACTAACTCCGAGCTAGCCCATAAGCAGCCCATACATTTGCAGCAGTGCAATGTTGACACTACTATTTACAGAGGAGCCAACAATGGAGAATCTGGTGTACAGCAGCCTCAAGGTATGTGTATTTGTTTCCCATCTTCAGATGCAGCAGTCAGAGTACAGCGTGCTGAAGAAGAAGGCCATCTCCCCACTAAATGTGACAAAACACTCTGTTATGACTCTTATGTCCACCATGCCAATTTTGAAGACACATTTGCTGCTTACTGCCATCCCCAGCCCATTCCTGCCCCTTCCCGGCTGTTGCCACGCCTGGCAGGCATAGAGCCAAGCTGCAATATTCGGTGTGCTGTGGCACCTCCTCCTGCAGCCAACCACCTTACCCTGCCGCGTCTCATCTCCTCCGTCAGTGAGACAGGCCTAGATGCCAAACATCTAATGCGATGCTGCAACCTCAGCTGCTCTTGGATCAGTTCACTGCCTCCTGGTACTTGCCCACAATCTCAAAAGCACCTCAGCAGAGAGGAGTGCTGCAGTAGTTCAGTTGGTAAAGTCAGATCCATAGTCCGTGACATGGGGACTATGACAGCCCATAAAGTTCTAAGGGATGTTGGGGTGCAGACAAGTCAGACCATCAGTTCTCATGTGTTCCCCCAGGTCTGTCTGGCGGACAAGTGCAGAAATGAGCCCTCCTGTATCCTAACTCCAAACAGTGACAGTGATGGAAGCAAGAAACCGGGTGGTGCTCCCAAATCTCCAGTGAAGGAGGTGAAGTGGGATGCAGAAGGGATGACATGGGAAGTGTATGGGGCTTCTGTGGACCCTGAGGAGTTAGGCATAGCCATCCAGAGACACCTGGAGCTGCAGATCAAGGAAACAGCAAGCCATGCAGCCAAGTTGTCACGCCAAAACACCAGCACCTCCCAGCAGGGCAAAAATACCAGCTGTCAGAGAAAGAGGAGCAGGATGATGAGCTCCATCCGAACCCCGGTCTGTTGCAGTCGGAGCACTGCAGCTGTTGACTGACTCACCAGCTGACAGATGGAGTGAACTTGAACACTGAACTGACCTGAACTTCAGCCTCAAATGTCATCCACCTGAGCAGAAGCTTTATGGAAGATAGAATAATCTGCATATTTACGAGACGAGCTTGTATACCAGTATTTCAATATTTCAGTGACTGAAACTGTGATTCCTGTAGCTGTGCACTGCCAGTTTTTCAGAGGGCCCTTTCGCATATAGGTATTTTAATAGGAATCTATGTACAGGACATAAACTCAATAAAACAACATTTGCATAGTATTAAGCAATCTGATGCAACAACATTGCAAGAAATACTACTCTTACTACCAATAAGATACGATAAGCCTTTATTAATCCCACAGTGGGGAAATTTGCAATTATTAATACTAATAATACTAGTCTGAAAAGCTTGCAATGAATGTGGGTTGGGGAGTCGAATGTAATCCTCAGCTGAGCCCTAACCAAATGTTAACCTAATGCTAATCACCTCAGACCACCCCTTTACTGCATCCCTGCTTCTGCTCCCCACCCCCTGGAAGTAGTGTTCCTCCCTCTGGCTCACTGGGTTCTGTATGGCGTTTGGATTCTTGACTGACACCAGTGGACACCTTTCAAGGGAGCTATTGAGAATTTTTTTTTTTTTTTACCTAATACTGATTTTAGTCTACAGCCTAAAGAACAAATTACCCCCTCTCCTACACAGTCACAACAAAAACTGAATGTTAAAAGTGAACACATGCAATGTAAAAGGAAGTAAATGCCATAGTAGAACTGTAGGAAGAGTAAAAGTAATAGGCAAATCAACTAAACATTATGTCCTGTTTCAATGGAGATAGAGAGAATGTGTCCTTTGAAGGGGAATTTCATACTGTGTGGCATCCAAAATAAGTGAATGCCATACATACTGTGTGTTTTCAGGCTATGAAAACAAGATGGCTGTCTTTTTTGAACGAGCGATGGACAAATTTTGATACTTCAAGTGACTGACCTGTGTAGCCTACCTGTGTCCATGGATTAGTCGACTTTCCATTAAAACGCTATGTGACTCCCTGCATGTATTCTCTTCTTGGCTATTTGTACGACTAACACTACTCTCATTATAACATTTAAAACAATTTCAAGACAACTAATTTTGTATTCAAACAAATGTACGGCTGCAAGTTGTTCCCAGACAGAGCACAATAGATTACCTGTAGAAAAAGGATGACACTTAGCTCCTCAAAAATTCTGGAAAAGACTGCAGTCTAATTATATTTCTTTGAAAATGAAAAGAAGTATAATGAGTCTGTAATAATTTAATTTCATAGATCAAGTTAGTTCACAGCAAATGGTCCAACATAGGTTAATACATTATATAGAAACCACAGAAGTACAATTTTTCGCCAGAGGGGTTGAGGAGCAGACCCAATGTCAAACACTCCCCTACCCATCACGTCTATGAAGGACAGCATTTTTAAAAATTTATTATTTTAACTTTATCTTGTTCGATTCAGCTCAGTAGTGACATTTGTCAAAACTGCATAATATTCATCTGTAGGAGATGATTGACAACATCAAAAGATAAAAGGAGCAAGACAAGCTATTTCAAACAAATAAACATCTAATTTGCTATTAGCTTTAAAGCAAAGGTCAAGACCTGTCAAAAGGTTTCTCATAGCTTCAGTTTAGTGGAAGATAAATTGCTGTGCTTGTGAAATATTGCATCGTACAATATTACATACATATGCTTTGATCATTTAGATCCCTACTGAAATAATCCTTCTTAGCACCTCAGAAATTGCATTAAGGTTGAGTTAACCACAACAGGTAGTACTTGTAAACACATAGAAGCCTTTTGTAGATCAATACACTGTGAACTCAACTTTTAAATGTTTCAGTGGTTATTATTTCACGATGCTAATGGTGCATGTGTATTTTGATGTAGATGTTTGCATTCATTTGTTCCCCAGTTTGTGTAATGTAGCTTAACAACTACGGGGAACAATTTTATGACTTTTTTTGCTATGAATATCCATAGTACCCAGATGATGATTTCTCAACAATTCCACCAAAATGCAAAACTAGTCAGCGTTGCTAATTTTTTGTATGTATCTGTGGAACATTCATGCACTTGTACTTTTCATGCTTAGATTAGGCAAAGTGATATGGTGTCTTCTCTTGGAACAACAGGCCTACTCCACAACCTCCATACAGGTTTGTAGAACAGTAGTTTACCAGTTTTTATATAAAAGGCTGGAAAGTAGTTTGCTGTTGCCGGTTGACTGTCTGTCCCATGAGGTAATTATTTTGTTGTCATTTTCTGTCCTCTTTGTAATCAGAGATCAAGAGTGCCAGGCCACGGGGTCATGAACTACTGAGGAACTTGGGCAGGCTTGGCTCCCTCTTCTAAGACATGAGTGCCCCTAAAACCATGATTTGTGATTTTTTTTGAGAGGTCTCTATACAATATTGAAAACGAAACACTTCTTACAGCTGATTTAAATCTGAAACTCTGAAGATAACCTGCTCCGGGTGGTTTGCTCCACATCATGAGTTACGATGGTAATCTAACAGGTTAAAAGACAGCCTCCTTCAGGACACTGAAAACTCTGACTTTAAGCTCAACATACATCGGTACACTACCAGTCTTACTTTGCAGTACAGTCCTCAGCAGAGGCCATGTCCTGTGTGTACACTGTCAGACAGATGTACTTAATCATAAAGTTGCCACAATCAATACAACACAGGGCAGCAAGATCAGGGGACTTGTGTGTGTGTGTGTGTGTGTGTGTGTGTGTGTGTGTGTGTGTGTGTGTTTGTTACAATAATGGTTTTATGCAATATGGGAGGAGCTTCGTCAGGGCAAACAGTATTTTAATGATGACTGTATTTCCATAGGGGCTGCACAGTGGCTCAGTGGTTAACACCATCAACTCACAGCTACAAGTTCCCTGGTTCGCATCCCGGTTCGGACACCTGGGATTTTTCTGTGTGGAGTCTCCATGTTCTCCCTGTGCAGCCTGGGTTCTCTCTGGGTTCTCCAGCTTCCTCCCACAGTCCAGAAACATGTTAGGGTTAACTGGTGATTCTAAATTGTCCGTAAGTGTGAATGTGAGTGTGCTTGTCTGTCTGTCTGTATGTGTAGCCCTGTGATAGTCTGGTTATGTCAAGAACTCACACTCAGAACTAGTGGACACAAATGCTTGACACAGACGGCAAGCAGGTTTATTACCAGGCAGGGTTTGGTACACAGGAGATCAGTCAGACAGGCAGAGGTATCCAAAAACGAGAGGCGAAAGGCAAGGTCAAAAACAGAAACAAGGTCGTACACAAACAGACTATGACTTGACTATGGCTATGAAGAAACGCTGGGACGACGACCGTGAAGTGCAACGAACTGACTAATGAGGGAAGATGGGAAACAGGTGAGGGAAAACCATCAGAGCGCGGGTGTGATGAGATGAGGGCAGGGCGTGCGGAAAGTGAATTTACGACAGACACAACAAGTTATTGATTTCAAAATAATACAGGAAGGACAAGACATAAAATGTGCAAACATAAAACAGAAAATTGACGGACATGACAGGTTACCAGTCCAGGTGAACCTGCCTTCACCCTGGGTTAGCTGGGATGGACTACAGCCCGCCGCGACCCTTGAGGATTAAGGTGTAAAGACAATGGATGTATGTATTTCCATAGAGTGACTTGTGACAGTATTGAATTTTTGAACTCACTGAGGCAGCCTGAGCTTTGTTTCAGAGAGATGACAGTGTTTGGCATTAGGAACCTATATATAGGTTCTAAGTCTGTTCAGATTAAAAAATATAAATGTATTGATCACATTTATGTGGAATTCAGCTCATCCAGGGATAACGGGGGGGGGCAATGGATATGTCAGCTAAACGTATTCTGAATTTGGAAGAGTCCATTGGACGTTTTGCTTGGTAAATCTAAAGTAAAGGGAATACAAAAAAAACACCATTAAAGAGTGGCAGCGAAGTTGGGTTACAGGAAACACAGGATAAAAGCTTTATGCAGCACAGTGAGAAGTAGGCATGATGAGAACAGTTACAAGCACTAGACAAAGGGGCATCTTGACAAGGTTGAGGGTAGGACATGCAAGACTTAATAAAACACACTGCATTTAGGAAATACATATTCCATGGGGCTATGTGAATTATGTCACATAGAGGAATCAGCGGAGTATATACTTTTTTTGTTTCATTAAGTATGTTTCAGCGCAAGAAATATTAAAGCAATAAAAAAAGCAATAAAAAAGTTGGAGAATATATTTGAGCTATTTTTATTCTGTTATCTGAAAGAAACTACACTGGTCAAAGAATACATTTGAAAAGACATATATGAAATAAAAAATGAGAGAAACAAAATGTTTAATTTAATTTGTCTAATCTAATTCAATTGCCCCTTCTCGATGGGGTCGATGGCTGCGGCCCTCTCTCCCATGCTCGGCGCGGCGGTGGTGCTCCTGGACGCTGACTGCCACCAAAAAAGAGGAAGTGCGAAGAAGTGTGGGTGGAGCCAAGCGGACTTCAAGTCAAGATGGCGGCTACCATGAATAACGTGGAAGAAATACGGACTCGAGTAATTCTGGGGGAGTTTGGTGTTAAGAATGTAAGTCTGTTGTTTAGCGATGGTTTTATGACATGTGTCGTGCGTGTGACCGGCTGAGGCGTACGCTCCCGACATGAACAGAGCTGAACAGAGCTGATGCTAACAGTGTTAGCCTAACAGTGATGAGAGCTATCAGCACAGTCACACTCCTGTAACCTCATACACTTAAAAAGTACTTCACCAGTGATACTCCGTCAATATGAAAGTATAAGCCATGCCATCTTCTTAGAAAAATACAGAAATACTTTAAGCTGTTAAAGTAACTGTCATGTTTTCTGACATGTGCATTAATACTGTGAACTGTGTTGGTTGTCTGTAGGTTCATACAACAGATTTTCCTGGAAACTACCCTGGCTGTGATGACACTTGGGACATGAAGAAATTTCAAAGGGTAAAATGTTGTCCCTTTTGCAAAGAATGTCGCATTTACCGGTAAACCAAGATATTTACCTTTGTTTCCTTAAACAGACTAATTCTAAGGACTGTAGAAAATGACCTAAAAAGGACTCAAAGGACTCCAGCTGCTGTTTTTCTGCTCTTATCTGTAAATATAGCAGCTCTCATAAACTGTACCTTGGAACACGCAGCTATGTTATATGGAGATTATTAGTCACTCCAAGTTCAA